AAAAAATGGCGAGGCATTAAGGAGCCGGAATTTCCCAGAACAGGGTTGAGTGATGAACAGCGTCTCTGGATACCGGAGATGGGGAGGAGTGCTTTTATACCCCGGTAACCGCAGGTCACAAAGATTGCATAATTCTATAGGGTGGTAGGGTGTCCAAAGATTGAACCCTGGAACCAGGGGTGTTGCATTATAAGAATGGAGGCTTTGCTTCCTACGCAATTTTTGGCAAAAAGCCATAAATCATTGTGTGAAATATTATGTGACATCCTCTACAATTCGTTGTTTTGTTTCGATGACCACTTGGTACTCAGATACCAGGCAGTCAAATCCGCCAGCGGTTTTTGCTTCTGAAGCAACCTAATCGAAAGAGGAAGCCATCGACAGGCTTGCCAGTATTGGTTGCTTTTGTCAACTATTGCTTCTAAGATCACTTTGGAATGACTTTAAAATAATAGACCAACAGAATCGTACGCAGGCCATGTGTATGGTGTTATTTTATGGTGCAAATTGCCTTTATCTTTCAGATGTAGTGGGGTAATATTTTCCAATACAGGCTCTGTGTGTTTCATCCCTTAACTGTAAACACAGACCGGGCTATGCATGGGGGTAGGAGTGGGAATCGTCAGTACAGCCTCCTACCGGCCATGTATTAAAAAGACATGTAGCTAATTTGCTAGAAGAATGAGTGAAAGAAAAGATAAAGAGAGTAAGAAGGAGAGAAAATATTCAATATCATGAAAGAAGTAGGAGTGATACAGCAGGTGGAAGAGGAGGAAACTAACATATGATTAGAGCAGTAATTTTATGAAGTTATGAGGAGACAGCTTTCATGAGAATATCGCACTAACTCGGTTTTTAATTCCTAGGTCATCAGGGTTAACTTTTATCTTCAGTAAAGTTTTTTCCCGTGTTCCGCCATTTTTTTTTTCTCGCTATTTCGACACTTTCCAGCCGATCTTGGCATTTTTCCAATACAAGAGAAAGAATTCTTTGAAGTTAATTCCGTGTTATAGAATGGCCGTGAAAGACCATCAATGTTTGCGGGTGGTGTCAATCCAATGGATGCTGTGGCTGGAAAATTTGCTAAGCCAGTGGCTGTTCTTGCTGCTTTTTCGCATCCTACGACTACAACCAAATTTCTTCGCGAAACATTTCCGAGTGCCCCTCCGACACCGAGATCAGCAAAAAAATGTCTTGTAAGTTCCTCGTTTTTATGCATTTTTGCATACACACAAATGCAAAACGCATATTGTGACGACCC